TGGAATTTAGGATGCAACTTTATATCTTACCTGCTCTACACTCAGGGCTTGAATTACAACAACAGTCAATCACATAAAAAAATATACTTTTGGTAGTTCTGTGTCTCTGTCTCTCTCCTCCAAACCCAGATGGCTGCTGGTACTGAACCGCAGCCATCTATATAACCCTGGACTATGCTTCTGAAGATGAGAGTAAGATGGGAGTCTCTGAGAGTAACTAGGTGAGGAGCTGTTAATGCCTTCATACAGCAGCTGCTATAAGTTTGAACAGTTCTATATTGTAAACAGAGCCAATTTTACACCGTATAATTACCATAGAATTTATTAGTTTCAGATTTTTTTTAGTCATAGCATATGATCTGATTTATTCTTTACTGCTAAACAAAACAATGTTTGGTTTCTCAAACTGTCCATAATTGCTCGTGATAAATTCATTGGTTTCAGGATGCACCTTCTGTATCTTCAAACAAAAAATCAGAACAAAATTATAATAATTAAATACATTTTTCAGAAGAAAGCCAGATCTTGATACATGCTGGTTTAACATAAGGATCTAAAATATGTCACACTATGTTGTTGGTTGAATCTCAGATTTGTTTAACATATGCAGATGCAAGTGTAAAACCATTGCTTCAGTGGTGGACCTTGGCTGGTGGTGTGTGAGGAAACATGTTTTGCCTTTGCTTCAAATAAATAACTAAATACTTTTTAAAAGAGGAATTTCCTGTAAATAAACAAATGCAATAAAACTCGGTCCTTTGTCACTGTAAATGTTTCACTGAAATTCCATCAAAAAAAAAAGTCAGAACTCTCATCACCTGACCACTTTTTAGCCAATGAGCTGTTTTTCACCCCTCCCCCCTCACTTTGTGACTTCGAGTTGAGGAGTAGCAACACTTTGCTGGTGTGGAGAAGCCAACAGGTAACTTTAAACTTTAGAATTTTGCCAGCTTTGTAGCCCAGCAACCAGTCAGATTTAGTTTTGTTGAGGTTTTTCTTTGGTGTATATTCCTTGATTAAGTTTTGTATTTCAATGTAATTCTCATGCTAAAGCTAGCTTTTTTGATGACACATGGTTGTGTATTTAATTAGTCAAGGTTAAATACCTAGTCTAACGCACACCTTTTTAGTTCAGTTTAACTGTAGTATTTGAAAATACTGATGTTATTATTTATTTATCCCACTGCCTCCAAATTTTAAGCAACGCTGAAATATAGGTGACACGTTATTAATGAGACATTTCAGATAACCGAGGTAGCTAACATTTAACTCTCTGGAGTGCGGATTATATGGCCAATTTACGGTGTATCAGCAAGATGCGTATATAACAGTTTTTTAAAATGTGTTTATAGGCCAAGTAAAACCAGAGTTATGATACATAATTTAAGCTTAGGGTTAGGGTTAGAACACCTGTAAAGGATCCGTTTTTACTGTAAACTATTTTCCTGAAATATTACATAAATTGTACTTTTTTTTTTCTTTTTCTGAGACAGTGTATTGCAATGCGGCCCCCGAGAGCAAAAATTAAACCGAAAGATGAAGCAGTAAAATTTGCATCTTTGGGGCAGGACAAAGATGGATTTGAAGTGAAATTCATAAATTCAGTAAAAGGTGAGGTACTAGGATACTTGTTGAGGATTTCTGGCACAGTCATAAGTTTAACCATTGCAGTAGACCAATGTTGACATTTTCTATTTTCTTTGTAAGGTCAAGGAATGTTTAGTAGGTGCAACTATAACAAAGGAGACTTCCTTCTGGAATATCGCGGAGACGTTGTAACCAAGAAGGAATATGAAAAGAGAACAAGATTGTACCATGACGCCTTAAAGGTTTTTCTTTTTGAATTCCGGTACAATGGAAAACAATTATGGTATGTAAATTAGACTAATTCATTTTTCAGCCTACTTTTTGCAAAAGTTATGACGACCACATTAAGACAAACTGCTAGTTTGTTACAAATCCATATAATTAAAAATGTAATCAAATTGTTCGGCCTTTTTATAAAGCTTGTGTAATTTTGTGTCTTACATTTTTTGTTGTTTCAGCATTGATGCAGCCAGAGAGGATGGCTCCTTGGCCAGACTGGTGAATCACGATCACGTGAGCCCAAACAGCAAAATGAGGACAATCACAGTAAATGGACAGCCTCATCTCTGTTTATTTGCCATAAAGGACATCAAGCTGGTGGAAGAAATAACATTACAATTACGGTGACTCTGACTGGCCATGGAGAGTAAAGGTACATATTTATATTTACATTTACCGTAGTGTAGCTACGTAACTGTATTGTATAGTCTCAACGTATCTGTGTTGAATGGATGTTAATGTACTTTTGTGTTTGCTTGCACAAGGTTTCAGAGCACCCTGACTGTTCTCAAGCTGATGTGCCCATGGCATCGTCGTCCCTTAAAGATGATGAGCAGGTGACTAATTTTCTGCTGTTGTTATTATTGCAACAAGAACACAGCAGAGTTGTTTGGATGTTGATAGTGAGGGTGTTAGACACAAGTCCTATAGTGTTGGTTAATGTAAGATACCTACATTATGAGGACTGTGTGTGTTTTGGATGTGTAAGTCTACTGAAAGATAATTTTATCCTGATATTTTCCAATGTTTTAAATCAACAGCTAAGCCACTCGATTTGCATTTAACTGAGACTTCAACTTAAAGTCAATGAGCAGTGGTTACACAGATGCTCTTTTACTCAAAAAGTATAGTCAGTCTATCAGAAAATATGCTTAAATCATGATGGGGAAACCCTGAAATGTTGGATCTTACTGTATGTATTCATGTCACATGGTTGCAGCAAATGAGTGAAGTTTCTGCATGGCATGAAAGAGTTGAAAATGAATGGTATAAACTCAAGGAACTTTGTTTTTCAACAGAACTGCAAACATGATGTGGTGTATTCGTCAGAGAAAATGTTGAAAAAAATTGTGCCTTTTGTAATGCATATTTTCCTGCTTTCAAGTTGATTTGCGTGAAATGTAAAGGTGAGTATTCTTGTCCTTTTATTTTAGATGATTGTCAAGATATTACTCTATTAACAAGA